TCCTGGAGCTCCCGGCGGCCCGGCCCGCGCCCTTCCCTCGGCCAGTCCGCCCGTGCCCGGCCGTTCCGGCTCTGACCTCCTGCACGCGAGGGAGGCTGCCGGCGCTCTCGGAAGTTACTCAGGAAACCTGCTTTAAAAAAAAAAAAAAAAAAAAAAAATCAGCCTCTTGGTTTCCATGGAAGGCGGCTGCTGCAGTTGGGAAAAACGGCCTTGAAATAATGTTATGAGCCTTGGTGACTGCTACAGAGCGCTTGGTGGCTCCACTTCAGTCTTCATGCAGAGACTCTTGCGCCAGGCACTGGACAGGAGGCACCTGGGGGATACCGAAGGCTCTCGGGTCCATCCTCCTTCACGAGCACCTCTTCCTTTCACCGCTTCTCCTTTCTCTGCCTCTTTGCCCCATGGTTTTGCTAAGGTTTTTGCATCGTGGTCTGTTGGTTCTGGCTGGCAAACAGGTACGATGCCATGCTTACGTTCTGTTTCTTGCGAGATGTCCCATGCAGCAAAAAAATCACTTTTGTGCAGAAATCAAGTGTTGGCTGTTATTTCAGAAAACAGCTATAAAAGGGACATGCCTCTTCCACAGTGGTAGTTGTGCTGCAGCATCATGTTTCCTTCCTCTTCCTCTCTGGTTAGTCAGCATAAGAAGTCGGCTCCTTAAACTATCAATAATAGTCATGTGGTTTTCTTCCAGGCAAGATTTTAATCTCACTACTCATAGTTTAGCTCCAGAAAACAGTGGAAACTTTGATTTGACCCTTTAGTCTAGCATCTTTAAAGAGTCCTCCACTTATGAAGTTAGATCAGATAGATATTTCAGTAGTTATGCGGTTTTGCCCATGGTTTGGACCACCACAAGGTCACTGCACATTCTCAGCGTCACAATGAGAAAGGTTTATCTGTGCCATCAAAACGGTGTTTTAATTCTGTAACATCTTCCCTCGGTTTGAATTTTTGAGAGGTAAGGAATATTTAGCCTCTTCTTGGATTGCAAAGGTAATCTGTATTTTCTTTGTAGCATTTCACCCTCTGAAGTATCGCTCCTTCATCAAGAGCATAATAACTGTTTTCATCTTTCTTGCCTAGGAAAAAATGTTCCCTGGAGGCTATTGACCTCAGACTTCCCAAAGACCTACTTTACTCGGTAAGTGTCATCATTTGTCAGTCCCTAAAGTATTTTCAGGGAAGGAAAGGATACTCTTTCCAATTAACCTGTTCTTTTCTCCAGTTTTTTTTTGGGGGGGGTGAGGGGGGAATTGTCTTTAATGAAAAGCTACCAAGACTGTAGAGATCTCTTTCTTCAAGGGGCGTGTGTGTGCGTACCTACATACAAATATACTGTGTGTGACTCAGAGTGAGTGAGTGTTTCATGGATATTGGTGACTGCATGGCTGAATAACAGTACCAATGACGCTAGCTGTAGTTTTGCCTGTAGCAACTGATGTGACTTGTGGATGTTATGTAATGAGAGGAATATTGTTGGTAGGTCCAAGTAGTTACATAGTAACAATGATACTATTAATACTCTTGTATGGGCCCCCCAGTGAGACTCCCTCCAAACAGTAATCCTTTGTTTCAGTCATCCCACAAAATGTATTTTGTCACGTAAAACGTTACTTTTATTTTAGCCATTGCTCTCTTACTCCTTGTGCTGTTCAAAAGTTGTCCTTCCTTCAATTTCTCTCTCAATATTTACAAAATGTAATAAAAACTGAAGTCTAATATGGAAGCTTACTGACCTACTGAAATGTGTAATGTCCCATTTATGTAAGCCTCTAGGCCTTTTCTAGAGATTCATTTCCTTCCATGAATGGTAGGGGTGTACCAATAAAGATTATTTGGGCCGATACCGATGGCCGATTATTGACCAGCCATATCAGCCAATACTGAGCCAATTCCCGATATGCAGCACAGCAACTTGAAGAGCAACGTCTGGGTGGCAAGTCTGTGGGGGGGAAGGGTGTGAGGGGGGGAGCAGATCGAGGCCTTTGCGGTAAGGGAGGGAGGAAGTGGGGCTGGGGCAGGGGCAGGTGCTGCCTGGGTGGGCTGGAGCACAGAACAGAGCCAGTGGCTCATCCAGAGGGTGGGGAAGGCTCCCGCCACTGCATGCACACGAGGAGAGGCTTGGGGGGCATGTGCCCCCCGATCTGTCCGTAGGGTGAGGGCAGGCTGCTGCTGTGCACTTGTGCTCGGAGGCTGTGCTGGGCTCTTCCCAGTGCCTGCGCTTTGGGTGGGCAATGGCAATGCTGGGAGGAGGGCTGTGGAAGGGCGGGGGCTAGAGCCACTGTAATAGACCCCCTCCCAGCGCTGCTGCTGTCCAGCCCCCCAGGTCAAAGCACAGCCCCCCCAAGCATAGCCACTGGGAAGAGCATGGTGCAGCCTCCAAGCGTGTAGTGGCAGCTTGCCCCTTCCCTACGCACAGATCTGAGGGGCACATGCCTGTCCCGGGGTGCACACAGTGGTGGGAGCCGCTCCCCTCCCCGCCCCCTGTGATGAGCCACCAGCTCAATCCTACACCCCACCCTACCCCAGGTGGGCAGTGCCTGCTCCAGCCCCACTCTCCCTCACCATGAGGGGTCTCAATCTGTCCCTGCACAGACTTACTGGCCAGATGCTGCACTCCTGGCTGCGTATATGCTGCGGCTGCATGCATGCTTTCAGCCTTTGTTGGCGACATTATCAATTACGTCAGCCAAAAAGGCCAATTGCCAATAATGTCAATTTTAGTTTTGTTGGTGCCAATACAATACGAGCTGATGTATTGGTGCACCTCTAATGATTGGGATCTGACAATATTTCAGATCCCAAAAATCACGTCCTGCCATGCTACAAGTGATATGTGATTTTGGGGATCTGCGATAAAATTTGTCAGATCCCAATCACATGTCCGCCGGGACATACAGCTTGCTGTACCTGCCCCCCTTGGCAAGTGGAACTAGGAATCAAGGAGCTCCCTGATTCTTAGCTGGGAGCTTCCTGATCCACAGCTGCCCTTATCACACATCTTGAAATAATGCGCTGGCAGCACATGTACTGGTGACAGCTTGAAGAGGTATGGATGGGGGATGTCCCCATGTGGGAGGAACCAATAGGTTATCCCCCACAGGAGGACAGTTAAAGTCCCACTTTAGCCTAGTATTGGGATGCACAGTGTGGCTTTAAATATCTTTGTGTGGGAGGAACTGATGGGTTCCCCTTCCTCATGCTGGCAGGCTTAAAATCCTGCTGTTTAGCCAGCCACAGAGATGTTCCATGTTAAAAGTAGAACATATTTGTTGTTCATTTTCCATTTTTATAATGGAATAACTTGCCTGAATGTCTGAAATGTTTCAAGAAAAGTTGTAGGCTGCTCACTTTTAACCTGCAATAAATGTCTGGAGGGGGCCATAGTCACAAAATCAACAAAAGCCCTATTGGCTACTGGAGGCAACCCCTGTAAACAAATCTCCATTCTATGAGGATGCCATCTGCTAGATGGCTTGCTTCTGGCACTTGCACATGCCTGCACTGCAATAAGGGCATGGTTACAGTGACAGTATAGCAGCACAAGGTGACATCCTGAATATGTACATCAGGTCTAAGGTTGGCTTGTACAGCCCATGCTGAAGTTCACATTCCTATATCTTCATTCTTATCATTACAACGAACTTGGGTGTGCTTTCAACTCTTAAAAAACAAGGTTTTTCTAGTAATACTGGTTATTGGACCAACTGTGTAGTTAGGAGAGAATTTTTGTTCTAAAAGGCTATGGTAGAAGGTGAATCAGGTTTATTAGGCATCTTTTTGGCATATTATAAAATACTGGAAAGAAGTCACAGAGTGTGTCTCTGCAACCTTCTGATATTAGGTTCCTACAAGGCTTAATATTTTAAAATTTCCCATTTAAAAAAATCCTCTGTCATGCAGTCTTAATACAGTCCATGAAAAAACATTTTCAGTCACTCATTCTTGTCAGATGAAGTCTTCTAAGTGGAGGATAATTCTTCTGTTAACTGTAATGTCACCTGATAAAGTCAGTAAATTTCAGGTTTTCATAACTGATGAATGATTTTACTAGTTAAAATAATAGGTGGTGCTAGAGCAGGGGTGGGCAAAATACAGCCTACAGGCTGGATCCAGCCTGTGGGCAGGTGCCTGCCAATTGATTGTATCTGGCCTGGGGCAGCCCATGCAGTGCTCGTGCCCATGCTCCCTGATGGCCTCAACCCTGGTCAGTGTGCACAGCTTCCCAGCAGGGCTGTTTCTGGTACTGCTGCAGCTGCCCAGCTCCCCATGTCTCCAGCGGCTCCTCCTGCCCCTGCTGTGCCATTCTGGGCAGCAGGTAGTGCTGGGAAATGTTAGCATTCACCATGGAGACATGTGGTGGGAATCACAGAACCAGCCAGGCAAGGCAGGGAAGCTGCAGCCAGGTGACTCTTGCCCCAGTGCACAGGGTCCAGCTCCTGGTCACCTTCTACCAACTCTGCCTGCCCGATGCCATGAGCAGCCACTTGCAGGTGGAAGGCAGCTGGGAGCTGGAGCCTCATGTGCTGGGCAGGAACTGCCCAGCCTCAGATACCAACCCCCCACCCGGCCATCTGATTGAGTGCATGGTGCCCAGCATGCATCCCTGTGGCTGCCACCACCACTTCCCAGTGCTACCTGCTGCCCAAAGTGGCACAGTAGGGGCAGGAGGAGGAGTTGCTGGAGGCAGAGGGATGCCGAGCAGTACCTGGGCAGATGCAGCTGCACCAGGAACAGCCTCATCCAAAAACTGTGCACTCTGGCCAGGGGCGGGAGCCCAGCACAGGCTGCCCTAGGTGGGAGTTGGGGAGCTCGGCCCCATGCAGAGCACTGTATGGGCAGCTGTGGGCCAGAAAGGGGTGAAGGTGGACCACACCTGCACCTGTATCACCTAAGTGAGCTCTGCTGCACACACCCCCTGCCACCCCATCCCTCCCCCGACCCCCAGCTAGCTCCCAGGACCTAGTGTGTGGGCAGTGCCCCCACACATGTGCACCCCCCCTACACACACAACCCCCCCTGGAGCCTG